TTTATTTACTTACTTACTTACTTACTTACTTACTTACTTACTTACTTACTTACTTACTTACTTACTTACTTACATTTATACCCCGCCTATCTGGTCAATACGACCACTCTAGGCGGCTAGAGTGATTATAAGGTATTATGTGATACTTCCCTCTCCCAAGCAGTCCACACAGTTGCTTTGTCACTTGCTTGTTATACATCTTTGAAGCATTATCACCTAGATCAGGTATATGTGGTACAGGGCCAGGATTTTTAGTTTACATAACATCACTTTGATTGTTTTATCATAGGGTTTTTGGGTTGTAAATATTTAGCAGTTGTTTACCGTTGCCTTTTGTGTGGTACAAACAAGAGCTTGCTGGACTGTCACTGTTATCTATGAAAGATAACCAGTGTCACCTTCTATTACAACTGCTGCCCAAGAACTGCCCTTCAAGAATTTCTTCACTCCCATCACTATTAGAGCTTCCATTTACATTTTGCTGTTTCAGCAATTAAGGATGAATCCTCAGAAGATTTTCTCATTTCTTCATAGCTGAAAAGGATGAATCTCTGAAGAGGAAATCCAACAATTATTTTATTGCGACAACATACTCAAGATTTTGAAACAGACTTTTACTATACATGGAACACAAATGATATGCAGAGAGAAAAATATAATATTGAAAATATACATTGACTGTTGGAGCCTACCAATAAATTTCAGAAGAAAAATTACTTTTCATTTTATAAAGTCTTTGACTCTGTGGGTCATGAAAAGCTAGGGATAATTCTAAGAGAATTGTGGTTGTCACAACATTACATTGCCCTGAAGAGGCTGTTGAGAGAGAGAGAGAAAGTGAGACAGAGTGGCTTCCAGCTGGCAGAGTGTCAAACAACTGTTTCCCCTCCCTATCCATTCAGTCGTTACACATAATATATCCTACAGAAAGCCAGAGTAGATTCAGATCAAGAGAGTGTGAAAATTGGTAGAAAAAACGTCAGTATTTACAGATATTCATGTGATACCATATTTCTGACAGAAAACAGAAATGACTTGATACAACTACTGAATAAGGATAAAGAATTAAACAGAACTGCAGTTGCACATTACGATGACAAATTATGACTAAAAGAAAATTAAATAACTTTAATATTGGCAGTGAAAATACTGAAACTGTTATGTGTTCTATTTCTTGGTTCAGTCATCAGTTCAGAGGGAGACTTGAGCCAAGAAACAAAAAGACTTCTGAGACTTGGAAGAGTAACTGTGGAGAAACTAGAAAAGATACTCAAGTATAAGGATATGTTGCTGGAGATAAAGGTCAGGATTCTTCATATTATGGTATTCATGGTTTCTTTGTAAGGATATGAAAGGTAGATAATGAAGAGAGCTGATGGAGAAAAAAATTATTTGAAATGTGTAGTTGCAAGAGAGCTTTAGAGATACCTTGGACTACCAGAAAGCCAGATAAGTGGGTCCTAAATCAAATCAAGCTTGAACTTTCTCTAGAAACTAAAAGGACTAAATAGAAACTGTTACACTTTGGATGCATAAGAAGACAATACTCACTGAAAAAGACAGTAATGCTAGGAAAATAGGAACACC